CCTGCAGGATGCCTAGGCCCAGGTGGGCACAGAGGGTGCTCAGGAGGTCTTGTAAGTAGAGCCTTGGTTCACCAGACTGCTGGTAGGATCCACAGCTGCTCTTCCTGAGCCAACACTTCTGAGAGGAGCAAGGAGACCTTGAATAACTGGGATAGGAGCTTATCTCTCCAAGTATTAATCACCCCATAAAACTTGCGTTTATTTAGTTGCTGGCGGGTCCTTCTTCCTGGAGGTAGGAAACTGTTATTCTTGGAGCCAGCAGCTAGAACTAGGGCCAGGGTGTCCAACAAAAGTGGATGATCTGCCCAACTACAGCATGTCAGGGGCCATGGAGCCTGGAAGGCCTGAAGTTGGCTTGATGAGGCCAGGGCAAAGGGGGCTGGCATGGGGTACAGCCTTGGAGCTGCCAGTCGGAGAGAAGCATCAGCCCCTGCCTCCCACTGTCTGGGGAGAAGCCCAATCATTCCATGGCCTGACTCTTACCTCTGTGGGCCAGGTACCCCAGGACTCCTCTGGTCTAAGGCAGATAACAGGCCAGGAAGGATTTGGAGGCCATTGGCCAAGGTTCCAGAGAGAAGCAGGAGGGGAGGGGGCAGGTTCCACAGGAAATCCCTAAAGATCAGACGCTGGTTTGGGAGACAATCACTGTAGGAAAGACTGACCTATCCTCGGGGTTTGCAGGACAGAAAGTGTCTTTCCTCAGTAGAGAGAGAACCTTGGAGACAGTAGCTGGGAAGGAAGGTAGGAGAGTGAGAAGAGCTGGGGGAGTCTGAGCTAGACACGGGCAGAGAAAAGGGGACCACCTATCCCTCCCACCACAGAGGGGGAAGAGAGCGGGAGCAGGATGGAGAGAGAGGCCCAGAGAGACACGGCAGACAATGGAGGGAGGAGGGAGACAACTGAGGAAAGATTCAAAGTAGGGAAGAGAGGAAACGGGAGAGAAAAGGAAGTTGACACCAAGATAAGGCAGCTGATAGGATCCCTGAGGGCAGGGGCCTGGGAAGGAGTGTTTAGTGCACCAAGCCCACCTCAGAAGATATCTTGGATGAACCTCTATTTACAAAAATATATTTTTAAAAAACCCTCTATTTAAATATATATGTGTGTGTGTATGTGTGTGTGTATCACCTCTATTTACCCAACAAAATCAATTTAGGACAACAAAATGAGGAGATATTTTAATCTACTAATTGAATTTAGGGGCCATCTTCAGTGTCTGAAAATGCCCAGGGATTATGGTGATTTACAGCTGGGACAGGAATCAACTGCAGCCTTGGCTTTATAGGGTGTCCAAAGAGAAGCCTGCTGGGAAATCCAAATGCAACTGAAAATACTGTAGGGAAATCCTTTTATAGTCACAAAAGTGGGGAATAGGGCCAGGTCAGGTCAAGCCGCCTGGGCTCTGGCCCCAGGGTGGGGGCTGTTCAAGTTACTCTCCAGGCCCCTGAGGGTTGCAAGCTGCTTCTTACCTGGAATGTTCTCCTTCATTCCCACCAACCCAGACCTTCCTAGAACTTGTAAACTCAGTGCAAGCCCCTTCTTCCAAGAAGCCCTCCTGGATTATATCTACCCTGCACCTCCTCTGGTCTCCTACCTCCTTTAATGCCTAAACCCGCTGGGATGTAAAGGGAAAGGCAGTACTTTTGGCATTTAGAAAACCCAGTCCAAATCCCTGTTCTGTCACAGATCTACACGGGCAAGCCAGATCTACCATGGGCCTCAGTTTTCTCCCTGCCAAATGGGGATAAAAATCACTCCCTCTGGGGCAGCTGGTGGAGGGTTAAATGAGATAAGTGGATGGAAAGCATCCCTGGCACATGGCAGGGATCCCATGAGGACAGCCTGTTAGTGATCTACCGTCTTCTCTTGGGTGGTGCCCTGATCACGTCTTGAGTGTTTGCTTTGTGTCTCTGGTTTCCCAGTGAGCCTGAGGCTGTCTATGGGTAGGGCTGGGTCTACCTCCATTCCCTACCCACACCTTCCCTCATGCAACAGGTCATCTATCCATCCCATCACTCTCCACCACCCACCCCACAAATATCACTCAGGGCCCTCCACATGCCAGGCCCGAGATGCCATTCTGGGAGAGGAACCCAGGCTGGGTAAGACATACATCCCTCCCTTAAAACCCTCACCATCTTGAGGGACAAACAGACACCCAGATGGAGCAAGGCACAGCTGATGCCTCAGTGCTGAGCGAGCGCAGATGCCATGTGGTGGCTGCTGAGGAAGGAAAGAACAGAATGCCTGAGGAGGCTTCAGGGAGGAGGTGGCTTTTGAGCTGGGCTTTAAAGCCAGAGTGGGATTTTGAACCTTGGGGACTGTGACGAAGGGCATTCCTGGCTTAGGAAGAGCAAGAAAGTTGCCCTCATCTTCAAACCACCCTGGGCTGAGCCCTGGGTCAAGTCATAGTATTCATGACCACCTTACAGATGAAAAGACTAAGCCTGAGAGAAAAGTGTCCATGGAGCTCAAACTCAAGTCTTAGGATCCCAAGTGCCTTGAAATGTCAGGCCTTGAGGATATTTGAGCAGTAGCAAGAGATTCACTTAATTTGAGGTCACACATTGCCCTCTCCAGGATGGTGGGGGTGGCTGACAGCCATTGATTATCTACTGTGCAGTCAACTGCTTCCCATGACCTTTCACAAGACCCCTGAGAATAGTTCTTATTGCCCCACTTTACAGATGAAGGGACTGAAGTCCCAAGCTTGTACAGGGTGAGGCCAGGATCCGACCTGGGTCTGTCTGTCTGCTTGACTCTACAGCCTAGACACATAACCCTTTATGCCTCTGGCAGGTAGAGGCCCTATAGGGTGCACCCATTTCATGGAAGGAATGGAAAGCAGATCATCTCTTTAGCCTGAGTGTCCCTCCTCGGGAGCTAAGACCTGGCAACAGCCTGGTTTGGAGCTTTTAGTGAATGTCAAGACACTTTTATTGAGTTGGAAAACACACAGTCCCTAAACTATTAGTTAATAGAAACAGCCTGCTGATGTTTGGAACCCAACAGAGAGTCTCTGACAAATATTCCAATCTTTGTTTTTACTTTCATAGTACTTTTACTCAGATGAAGGTGCTCTGAAAAGAAGAGAGAGCTTCACTGTTTCCAGGCTCTAAAGTCAGAAGAGGAAAAGAATTTTCCAGCCACCTCCATGGCAGGGAAAGGGGGCAGGGATGGGAGATGGGGGGAACAAGTTCTGGTTGAGCATCTACTTGGTATCCAGGACCATGCTGGGCACTTTACTCACAGCCTCTTTAATTGCATTTAATCTTCCCATCAACCCATTTTACAGACGAAGAAGCTGATACTCATGCAGGCTCTGCACAGAGACAAGCCAATTTACCAATGGGTTGATTTACACCCAGTTAATGTGTGCATACATATACTCACACATGCACACACACTCACTCACATGCACACACACTCATTCACATGCACAAGTGTAGCAAAGTGGAAGAATCCTGGACTGGCAGTCAGGGGACTGGGGTTCTAACACCAACACAGCCACCAACTCACTGTGTGACCCCAGGAAGTCAGGGCCTCGCCAAGGCCCGTTCTGGCCCTGGCATTTTAGGGTCCCGTGCACGCCGTCTTCCTTCGGCCTTCCCCTCCCTGCACCGAGTTAGGAAGTCTGGTTCCTCTGGAGGTCAGGTTGCCTTCTAACCTCCTCACCCCCTACAGGAGGGCCTTCTCACTTCCCTGAAACAGCCACATGCTGGGGTCTCAGGAGATGCTGGAAGGGTCTTAGCCCCTCCCCCTCAGTGCTTTCTGCCCTCTTCCCATTCCTTGCACCCAACATCCCTACAAAAAGCACTAGGGTGGGATGCGATCCTCAGCCTATATGACTGTGAGACCAGAAGAACTAGATGGTGCCCGGCTACCGCCGTCAGCCACTCGGAGGGGGATCTATGTAGGAGATCCTAGATAGAGCGGGAGAACAATGTGGAACAAAACTCAAAATCATTTGGGGAAAAAAAAGGTGGGGGGTGGACCAGGTTTGCTGGTCTGATAGAGCCTGGTGGAACCACTGAGACTATGGCCCCTACCTGCCCTTCAGGTCTGGAATTGAACCCACACCTGTCTTTCAGCCAAATAAAAGACAGTCATAAGAGTTGAACATGTACCTGAGGTAGATACACTCCTTGGAGAGAACAATCATGGGCGAAAGAGGGGTTGTGTATGCACAGGGAGACAGCTCAGGGGGCAGGAGTGCATGGAGGGATGGACACAGAGAAGAGGTAACTATTGGGAAGAGGTAGTTGGGGAGCTGTTGCATTGTGGTAAATTGTAGTCAATGTCATGAGACATGAACTGCTGTATGGAAAGTGAATTTGCTCTGTAAATTTTCACCCAAATCACAATAAAAATAATAATAATAATAAAGAAAAGCACTAGGGTGGGGGTTGGAGCACAGCCTTCTGGGAGGCTGCAAAGCCTAAGAGTTAAGAGTTGGTTTTAGAGTCGGACAGACTCAGCTCTGAGTGACAGCTCTACCCCTTACCTGCTGTGTCTCCTGGGCAGCAACTCAACCTCCCTGAGCTTCAGTTTCCACCGCATGGGCCCAATAATGGAATATGCCTCCCGGGGTTGCTATGAAAATGGGCACTAATGAAGTGCCTGGTACATAATAAGTGTCTTATAAATTATGGTTACCATGATAAATATTCATTACTTCCAGGGGATGAGGGTCCTCAAGGCTGCCCATTATGATTGTGAAGGTTGGGCACTGCTCAAGGGCATAACCTAAGAGGGTAAAGGGGCCAGACATCTTGTTAGGCTCCCTGTGTCAGAGCTGTGGACCTGGAGGAAGGGTACACTTTGAGATCTGACATTCACACAAAGGCTCCTGGAGCTGCCTCTGTGCTTACTTGGCCCTGGGGCTGCTACCAGTTGGTGAGGGGCCCCCACACCTGATGGGACTAAGCAGTGTCAGACCACAGCACCTGGAAGCTGAGTGGTGTGCTGTGAACCTAAGGGGCCAGAGGAGTAATACTCACCAAGCAGCTGGACACCCCGCGTGAGGCCGTAGACATCCACCAGGGCCCAGAGTGGGTCAGCTGTGCGGACCCCATTGAAGAAGAGCATGGCGGCAGAGTCGTTGATGCGGTAGAAGACACGGCCCTTTTTGTCCACCCAGAAGGCGATGATGTTGCCCTCGTTGGCAAACTCCTCAGGCAGTGCCTTGGCCCAGAAGCCACTCTGGGATACCAGGTCGGGGCAGGCGTACTTGGGCAGCGAGTCCGGGTGGATGTGGGACGGGTCCTTGCTCGTGAAGCCCAACCGCAGGGCCCCACTCCAGCAGCACTGCTTCTTGATGATCTGGGTGGACAGAGAGGGCAGCTCAGACAGCCCCTGGCCCAGCCTGGCCTCTGCACCCCCATCAGTCAGACCAAGGGACAGAGGGCGGCTCAGACAGCCCCCTGCCCAGCCTCTGCACCCCCATCAGTCAGACCAGGGGAAGGGAGTAGCTCTTCACAGACCACCCTGAGGCAGACTCCCAGCTCACCCACTAGGGACCCCCCAAGTATGGTAGGAGCTAGTGGCTCCCATGGCCACTCTACTCCCCAGTTCCTTCTTGGTCACACAGGGAAGGTTGAGAAAGAAGAAAAGGGTAAGTATTGTGGAAGGGAAAGCAGAGAATGAGAGAGGAGCACAAGTGGCAGGAGAGAAGAAAGAAGAGAGGCAGAACACAGTAATGGCAGTGACAGAAGGCAGTGATGAGGGAGACGGCTCAGAAGCCCAGGGGAAAGCAGTGATGGACGGCATGGGGGAGGTCCCACCTTCAGCCTGACTTGCTCGTAGATGAGGACTGGGCGGTTACTGAAGGTGATGGCATTGCAGAAGCTGGCCTGCCTCTTGACGGCCTTGTGGCTGAGGTCCATGAGGATCTGGGAGCCCTTGGTGTGTGGGTGGAAGAGCAGTGGTGTGGTTGGGAGCCCTCCGCCAGACAGCGCCGGCAGGCACTGCTTCTGCTTGTGGTGGCATCGGTGGGAGGTGACAGGGAAGGGGCCGCTGATGGAGTCTGCAAAGGAACAAGCCACAGTGTCAGAGAACTTGACGTGTCTAAGAGCTAGGACAGGGTCCCTGGGGAGGGGCAGAGGACAGAGGGCAAAGGCATAAAAAGAAGTTGCCCCACTGCCCAGTATTACACTAGCATTGCCACCCATCACCACTGCCACCTTTTACCACCATTCTTCTCCTGTTACCATATAGTGCTATTTCCCACTTGACTATCTACCATCATTTATTAAACACTACTATCTACCATTATCTGCATCTATCACCTCCCAGCACCTTCATTTACCATCATCCTTCACCCACCACCTCCCACCACAACCATCTACCTTCATCCTTTACCCACCACCTCCCACCACCATTCACTGTCACTCACTACCACCATCATTTATTTATTCACTTATTTTATTCAATAAATATCCATTATATATCTGTTAATTACCAGGCCCTGGCCTAGGCACTAGAAATACAGGTATGAAACATACACGGATCCTGTTCTCAAGATGCCAACAGTCCAGGAAGAGAGAAAAGGCATGGACAAAGTCACACTACAAAAAGGCTAAAACCAAACCAAACTCACTGCCACTGAACCTATTCCAACTCATGTTGTTGTTGTTATGTGTCATCAAGTCGAACCCAACTCGTAGTGACCCCTCCTTGGGTTTCTGAGGTGGTATCACTATGGAAGTAGATTGCCCAACCTTCCTTCCAAGGAGTGGCTGGTGGGTTTGAACCGCCAGCCTTCTGGTTAGCAGTCAAGTGCCTTAGGCACTATGCTACCAGAGCTCCTTCCAACTCATAGCAACCCCCATACGGTTTCTGAGGCTGTAATTCCTTATAGAAGCAGACTGCCTCATTTTTCTCCCAGAGAGTGGCTGGTGGGTTCAAAATACTGGTTCTAGCAGCCAAATGCCTTAACCACTTCACCACCAGAGCTCCTTCACAAAAAGCCAGCAGTGATTTAATGGAAACAGAACAACCACAAAGAAAATAAGAATTGTTCACACTTTGTCCAAAACATAACCAAAGTTGCTGAACAACGTGAATAGAAATTGTTGAATGAGAACTTCAACTGCTGTGTAAACCTTAACTGAAAACACAATAAAAAATGATTTCCAAAAAAAAAGGCAGACAGTGTTAAGTGCCAAAGGGACTGCAGTCAGGTCACTTCTCCGAAAGGTTCCTGGAGGAGAAGGAGGCACTGGAGTTGGACTGACAAGGCTCACTGGGTTCACTGTAGTAGACACATGACTTTGGGGCTGCCATTCCATACCAGGAAGGGGAGGGGGCAGTTTCTGAAGCATCAGACCATCAGCACCACACCCTCCCTCCTCCATCCGAGGCTTCCTTCCTGCTGTACCCTGGCCGTGTCTGCACCGTCTTGGACACAGGTGGACTGCACGTCACCCAGACTTCCTACCTGGAAACTACCAGATTCATCTCAATACTCCTGGTTGAGAGACATGGTGCTTTCCCTGCAGACAGCTCTACCAGTTGCTGTAGAGTCAGTTCTGACTTATGGCGATCCCGTGTGGGTCAGAGTAGCACTATGCTCCATAGGGTTTTCAATGGCTGATTTTTCGGCAGTAGATCACCAGGCATTTCTTTCAAGGCACCTCTGGGACTTAAACCTGTAACCTTTGCATTAGCAGCTGAGTGCATTAACAATTTGCACCACCCACAGACCCCCAGACAGCTCTATCACATCCCAAAATGGACAGAGTCTGAGTCTCAGTTCAGGAGAAGGCACTTTACTAATGCACGCAGTTGGCATCCAGGAGCCAGAGCAGGGAGAGAAAAGAAGACTAGACTAGGTGCTGGTGGCTTGCATCTGACACTAACTGGCTGTGTGACCTTGGGGATGTCACTTCTCTCTGGCACAATGGATAGCCTCTACCTTGTCACTCTTATGGCGTATGAACAGAACTGGCAGCATTAACATACAGTCTCAAGAGCTGAGGGCCAGATGGGGACGTATGTACTTCTTCCCCAAAATCTGTGTCCTGTCTACCAGGAAGGAAAGCCCCCAGCCCATCCTGTCACCTGGAGGGAAAAGAGACGTGGAGGATGGAGAAGATGGGGGTGGGGAGGTGAGGGGTAGATAACCACAAAATGTAACAGATACCTCTGGCATGTTTCAAATTTGGTCCCTGTGAAGCAAGCATCTAACAAAGCAGAGAGTTTGGTCAGTTGGGCCCAGAGGCTTTCCACTCCCTAAGGGGTGGGAGTTTCCCGGAAGGAGACTACAGATGGAGGGAGGACAGAGGGAAGGATCCTGGGAGTCTCCAAGCCCAGACCCCTGTCCATGCTGTGTTTGCACTGGTTTGCCTCACTGTTTCCTTGTTTCCTCCTTCCCAGAAGGGCCCCAGACAGTCTCCACAGCCCAGGGCCAGCAGGACATCTTTCCGTGGGCCCCCAGACCTGTCTGGAGCAGCTTCCGGTGGATCAGGCCCACTGGGTGGGTAGGTGGGTGTGGCACGAGGAGGAGCTAGTCTTGGTCTCACAAAGGAGACAAGGCTGGAACCGCTGAACACTGCTCGGAGGCTCCGGAGCGTCTTCGTCCTGTGTGGACTGGTATTGCTCAGCGGAAACCCAGACAGTTTGGGAAGGCTACCCGGAAGAAGCCGATTTGGGGCACAGGGCAGAGGATGGAACTGGCTATGGGAGCCATGCCTAGAAAAGGTGGCCATTGGAGTCAGGCCAATTTCAGACACGGTGGACTGGATTTGCAAAAAATACCTCCTGGGGAAAAGTAACATCACACATTTAGAGGTACATAAACCAAAAAACACCAAACGCACTGCTGTCTAGTCGCATCCGACTGATAGCAACCCCTCCTTGAGTTTCCGAGGCGGTGTCACTACGGGAGGAGATTGCCCAACTTTCCTTCCAAGGACTGGCTGGTGGGTTTGAACCGCCAGCCTTCTGGTTAGCAGTCAAATGCCTTAGGCACTAGGCTACCAGAGCTCCTCTTAGAGGTACATACATAAGTAGAAATGAAAGCATAAAGGAAAAAGATACCTGCTGGGCAAATGGATGAGAAATGGTGGTACATCTATACACAGCAGTAAGAGAGGATGAATTAGTGATACGCACAGCAAAGTGGAGGAATTTCAAAGTGATTGTGCTGAGTGAAAGAAGCCAGGGGAATTTAAAAAAAAAAAAAAAGAGTAACAACCCACACACCAATGGTTCCCTTCAAAACCCTTTCCTCTCCTTCCTCTCCTGTCCCAATTTTATCAAATTCTACAAAATGCAAACTAAGCTATAGTGATAAAAAGCAGGTTGGTGGTTGCCTGGAGATGGTGTGAGGAGAGGGAGAGATTACAAAGGGACATGAGGGAATGTTCGGGGTTGATGGATCCATTCATTATTTCACTTGTGGTGGAGGCTTCATGGGTGTATGCATATGTCAAAACTCATCAAACTGTACTTTAAATATGTGTAGTTTGTTGTTGTTTGCCGTCGAGTCGGCCCCAACTCATAGTGACCCCTCCTTGGGTTGCCCAGGCAGTATCACTACGGAAGTAGATTGCCCAACCTTCCTTCCAAGGAGTGGCTGGTGGGTTTGAACCGCCAGCCTTCTGATTAGCAGTCAAGTGCCTTAGTCACTATGCTACCAGAGCTCCTACCTCAACAAGGCAGATTTTTAAAAACCTCCCAGCCCCAGAAGCTGATTATAGCCTCTCCTCTAGGGTACCTCTTCCCCAGGACCCACCCAGAATCCAAGGAACAACTACAGGGCCTCAGCTCCCTTCAAAGAGCTTCCTCTTCTTCCCAGCCCATCCTTGCTGGGATACTGGGGCCATTAGCAAAGATCCAGGAAACAATGCCTCTGGGCCAATATGGCGGAGGAGAAACTCAGAAGCCAGAGAACCAAAGCTCACTGTCATCGTTTCTGATGACTCATAGTGACTCATTTTGGGTTTGTGAGGCGGTAATTCTTTACAGAAGTGGATTGCCCAGTCTTCCTTCCATAGAGTGGCTGGTGGGTTTGAACTGCCAACCTTCTGGTTAGCAGTCAAATGCCTTAGACACTACACCACCAGAGCTCCATAAAGACCAGAGACCTAGGCCCATTTCCCTGGCTAATCCCTGAGCCCAACCCTTCCCAAGAGTGCAGACCCAAACCAAACTCACTCCCATCGAGTCGTTTCTGACTCATCAAAAAAATAAAACCAAATTTACTGCTGTTGAGTCGACTTGACTCATAGCGACCCCTCCTTGGGTTTCCGAGGCGGTATCTCTACAGAAGTTAGATTGCCCAACCTTCCTTCCGAGGAGTGGCTGGTGGGTTTGAACCGTCAGCCTTCTGGTTAGCAGTCAAGTGCCTTAGGCACTACGGTACCAGAGCTCCCATTCTTAGCAGCAACTAAATAAATAAATAATACATAGTCATTACTTATGACATGTAAAAAAGAAAGTTCATCCACCCGAAAGCACCTCGTAACACACTGAGAGACATGTGGCATTCTCTTCTATCCCACTGCCTCCATAGGACACATGTGTATGCCACCAAAACACAAGCATAAAAACATATTCTCAGCCCTCACACATTGCTGGTGGGATGCAAAACAGTGCAGCCAACGTGGGCAATCGTTTGGCAGTTTCCTATAAACACCTACCATAGGACCCAGCAATCCTACTCCTGGAAAAATGGAAACAGATACCCACACTAGGACCTGCATGCAAATGTATAGCAGCTTTATTCATAATAGCCCAAACCTGGAAACAAGTCAGGTGTCCTTTAAGTGGGTAATGGATAACAAAACATGCTACATCCACCCAAGGAAATACTGTTGTTGTTCGGTGCTGTCAAGTCGGTTCCACCTCACAGCAAACTCATGTACAACAGAACTAAAGGCTGCCCGGTCCTGCTGCAAAAGTGTTAAAAAGTTAAAAAAGCAAGGATGTCACTTTGAGGACTAAGGTGCACCTGACCCAAGTCATAGTATTTTTCACTCTCCTCATGTGTAAGTGAAAACTGGAAAATGAATAAGGAAGACA